TCCACAGTGTGAGCACCCACGTGTGCATCCACGGTGTGAGCATCCACAGTGTGAGCATCCACAGTGTGAGTACCCACAGTGTGAGCTGTGCAAGCATCCACAGTGTGAGCACCCACAGTGTGAGCACCCACAGTGTGAGCACCCACAGTGTGAGCATCCATGGTGTGTGCATCCACGGTGTGAGCATCCACAGTGTGAGCATCCACAGTGTGTGTATCCACGGTGTGAGCATCCACAGTGTGAGCATCCACAGTGTGTGCACCCACAGTGTGAGCATCCACGGTGTGTGCATCCACGGTGTGTGCATCCATGGTGTGAGCAGTGCAAGCATCCACAGTGTGAGCACCCACAGTGTGTGCACCCACAGTGTGAGCACACACAGTGTGAACATGCAGTGTCAGCACCCACAGTGTCAGCACCCACGGTGTGATCATTCCTTTTGTTCTTCTGTTGACTTTTCTTTCTCTTTTGATGAATTCTTGAAAATGAGAGACTGTCCAGGGGTTTGACTTTTTCCTGACTTCTGTCACCTGTCTTTACCTTATATTTTGTTCCAGGCCTTTGGAGCCACAGCCCCATGGTGTCTGACTGCACAGATCTCTGTTCTGAAGCTGTGTTCTCTCACTCCACCCTCTGAGATCCATGTCCATGTTCCTGGCCTTTGGTAGGGCTTCTGCCACCTTGGCTCTGCCTAGCCAGGACCACCCTGGCTTCTTCCACTCTTGCCTGCTATGCTCTGCCTGCGGGAGGGTGTCCTGTCATGCATTGATTGGTGCCATGGGAAATTTATGGGCTCCAATTGCAGCTGGATGTGCAGTACTGCCTGGCAATCCTTTCCCCTGTCTCTCATCAGCTGTTTCTCCCATTATCCTTGGCAGTTCCCTTAGACCTTTGCCACCCTCATCAGGCCCCTCACCTTGCCCTGCCTTTCGCCAAGCAAGTGACCTTGCCTTTTACATCACGGAGAAAATAAAGGCCTTCAATCTTCATCCCCTACTGCAGTGAACAGAACCACCATCTGAGATACTCAGTTCCCCTGAGCCATGGCCTGGGAACTCTGGAAACCCTTCCCCCTCACCTCCACATCCAGTCAGACCCATGCCACGTCTCCATTGTTCCCATCATAAATGCATGACCCCAAAGACACTCCCTTCCTCCTGCCCTTCTGTCTTCTCCCACCCCCTACCCCCATCATTAACCTCATGAGGGCCTGCTCACTGGAGCCAGCCTGCTCCTCCCAATGCCCCTCCCCTCTCCTCCCCTCTCCTCTCCTCTCCTCTCCTCTCCTCTCCTCTCCTCTCCTCTCTGCATCTACCTCTCAGCATCAGGGGCTGACTCTGCATCTACCTCTCAGCATCAGGGGCTGACTCTTTGGAAATGTGCAGTGGTTGCTAGCAGGGCCCAGAGGTCCTAGTATGTCAGGGTCTAGTAGAGGCACAGTGGTTTTACCTCAGCCTGGGATGGGTGCCTTACTCTGCCAGATTGATGAGACTGCTCATTGGCAGGAACTTCTCACCCAGTCAGAGAGGTGAGGAGTGCGGCCTGCAGCCCTGGGGCAATACCTAAATCCTACAGCTGTGCTCACACACCTGCGGCTGCCCTAGACGATAGATATTGTGCGCCAGGTGTGCTATGGGTGTTTCCTGTACTATCCCACTAGCCTGGGGATCATAGCACATGGCATTCATTCCTTCATTCAGATGGGAGGAGGCTGAGGTGTGGGAAATGAGGCTATGGCTTGATATCAAACTTGGTTCCCGAGCCTCACATGTCTGTCTGGGGATTGTCCATGTTCTTCTGTGAGCTTCTTGCCTGTCATCAAATCCGAGTCTTTCACAGTAGGGCCCTCTGTGACATAGCCCAGGGTCTGGCACCTGGTCGAAGTCCTCTGAAGTTCTGTGGAGCTGTCATCGGCAGGCCTCACCTGTGCTTTCTGGCCTAGCTGACCGTCTTTGAAAGTCGTGTTTTTGCTCTGCCTACCCTCAGCTTGTGTTGCTCCTGTGCCTCGGTTTCCCTCCTCTTTGCTTCTTGACTTTTGCCCCGTTTCCTGCAGCTGCTCTCCTTGAAGGAGAATCTGCTGCAACCCCCATCTGCTCCCACTCAGTCTGGGCGACCGCCTGGGCCTCTGCGCCTGGTAGCTGGTAGACATGGAGCTGTTTGGTCTTGAACTCAGCTAATCAGCTCATTTGGAAGATTCAGGGCTCTTGTTTTAAAAACACTTTCCATTTTAAAATTATCTTGACAGATTTAATCACTTGAGAGAAGGACCATAAAATAAACACGCATCTCATCCCGCCTGCTTTGTGTAACAAGTGTTTGTGGTTTAGCTTGGCAGCTCTTTGCTTTTGATTTTGAGGTCATAATAGTGGTTCTAAGTGCTGTGTACCCCTCTCCTGCTGCAGAGTGCCACCATCCTTAGCATGCAGGCTGTCACAATCACCCCACTTGTGAGAGTGGCTTTGAGTGGTATGTTAGCACATCACATAAACAGTGTGGTGCTTTCTGGGACGCGGTCGCTTGTTCCTCCGTGTTGTTGGCCGTTAAACTAGACTGTTTAGTGCTTAGCTGTTCACTGTAAGTGGCTAACCATTGCATTTATACCCCTGACCCTGAGCCAACTCACCTGTTGGCAGCCTCTCTTGGTATACAATTGATCCAGGCTTCATTTGTTACCGTTGCTACTTTGGGTTTTTGAGATTGAAACTGGATGCCTGTCAGTCACTTACTGCTGCTCCACCCAGATGGCTTGAAGGAAAAAGGACCAACAGTATCCCTTGATCTTCTCAGGCCCTAGGTTGGGATTGTGCACACATAGCTTCTGTGCTTGGCCATGGTGACCTTGGGAATAGCCACAGCCAGCATCCACTTGGACACCATGTGTCCTGGCTGCTTTTGTCAGCTCCTTGCATGTTGGGAGGCTCGTGTCAGCTCTCCATGATGGTTTAAAGGTCTGACTCTCTATGTTGGCACCAAAGTGTATGCAGACGACTACTATGGCTTTTACCCTCATTATTGCATTCAGCCAATTACTTGAGTTATGCAGCACTGTACTATTAGATTGGGTTATTGTAGGCAATCTTGTCCAGCTGTTATTAATGTAATCACTCGGCACATTTGACATTGGCCAGGCTGTTAGTAGGTTAAAAGTAGTAAATGCATTGTTGTTTGTTTGCTTAAGTTAAGATAGGGTCTCAGCTGTAGCCCGAGCTGGCCTGGAACTCACAGTAATCCTGTTGCTTCACCATCCAAGGTGCTGGAATAATGGATATGAACTACTTCCTATCTTTTGGTTTGGAGGTTTTGTTTGTTTGTTTTTGATGTGTATATGTATGTGGCTTTTTTGTTTTGTCTTGTTTTGTTTGAGACAGGGTTTCTCTGTGTAACAGCCCTGGCTGTCCTGGAACTTGCTTTGTAGTCCAGAGAGAGAGACTAGACTCCTGTACCTGGTCTTCCTCTCTCTACTCTGCCTGCTCTTCTCCCTCCTCCCTCTTCTCTCTCTCTTGTTTGCTTTGGCTGTCAGTAGCCAGGGTGGTGTCAGCAGGCACCCTTGCTTCTGTGACCTCCCTAGGAAATTGCTTTCCTCAGGCATTGCCCCACCTCCTCTCTCCTGTCTCTCTGTAGGGCTAGGAGCTCCTTCCCCATTCTTGGGTATCCTTTGGACCTGCCCCAGGACACTACTCTGTTACCGTTACTCATACCAAAGCATAATCTTGTCACTTCTATGCTCTTAAGCCCTTGGCGGCACTCAGTGGTAGTTGCATTGGTCCCCCAGAGGTCTTAGCGGCACAGTGACAACCTTTCAGGGGCTAACCTCACCTCACCCTCAGTTCCTGTTCCATGTAGGTTTCCCTTGCTTCTGTCACCTGGAGCTTGTCACACGCCCCCTGATGTCATCTCCCCATTCTTCAGAGCATGGTGCTCTATGATCCTGAAGTCCCTTTCCCCTGGCTGCTCATGTGTTGGTTTCCTGGTGCGACTATACAAAGTGCCAGGAACTTGGCAGCTCAAAGCCCTGGGCCTTTACTCTCATATCGTTAGTTCCTGGCACATGCCTGCTCCTCAGTCAGTTTGGCACCTGAGTCATCATAGCAGGACTCAGTCTTGTCACCATGCCAGGTAATATTGCTAAGGCATCACCTTTCTTGATCCAGCCAGGTAGTGGGTACTCATCCCTCCCCGCTGAGCTCTGCCCGAGATGCCTTGCTGGCCTTCTGTGTGTGCCTTTTATCGCCTGCCTGCAGTTCACTTGGAGCACTGCTGTCAGAGCCGTCATTTTGAAGCACTGTTGTCCTGCACTCGGGTCAGAAGCCCTAGTGTCATGTAGCCTTTGTGGGCCCAGACTTGGGGGCTTGCCCTCTTGTAACCTGCTATGGAGTGGTCGTTGGTGACAAAGTCTGTTCACTTCTGGGACCCATTATGATTTTGTTGCCTTCCTCTCCTGACAATGAACTGCATATTTCATTGATCTCTCTATAAATGGGAATTTCAGGTGCTTTCATTTCCCCAAAATATGCCTCTTTAGCTTCTTTTGGTCCCTTTACACCCTGCTGTTGGCTCACTCCACAGTGACCAAGGGTGAGAGGCATCTTATTTCTGTAGCATTCCCTGCCATGGTGCTCAGGTCTTGTGTGTTTGCATAGGTGCAGGATAGGCCGTGGCTTTCATTCTAACACCACTGGGGCGGCTGCTCATCCATTCAACAAGCCCTAACAGACTGAGATGCTCTGTGCCATCTGCCATTTGTGCTAAGGATGCACTAAGAACAACAGGCAACTCAGACGTGCTACCGCCCTCCAGGTCCATCCTCTGGAAGACACATGACAATTACGAATCATACACGAAAAACGTACATATGGGAAGAATGGTCACAACAGGAGACTGGGACTCCCTTAGGAAGCAGAGCGAAGGGTAGACCCAGAGGAAGATGAAGGGCCACCTGGGAGGGGACTGTCTCCATGCTGGAGATAGCATGTACCTGTCCTCTATTCACCTCCTGCCATTTTCCCTCCAGGTCAGAAAATCCAGCCAGGAAGTGCTGCTGGCTCTTCTGGAGCAAGATCTAATTGCCCAGTGTGACATTGAAGGCAAAGTGTGTCCTGTTCTGCTGGAGCGCTCTGGCCCTGACTGTGATGATGAGTGCAGAGCAGAGGCCATGAGTGTAAGTCTTCCTGGGAGTGGGTGGCTTGCACACCTGGTGGCTAACGTAGGACTTAAGTTCTCATAAGAGTTGGACTTTGGCCAGCACCATCCCCTGGGTAAGGTGGACAGGGGTCATTCAGGAACACTCCATGGGTAGCTTTTAGCCTGTTTTTAGACATGCTCATTCTTGGAGCACCAGGGCCAGAGAAGCCCCAAGCAGATGGACCCACTAACTCAAACCAGTGCTGGGCAGGTTACCACTTCTCACAGTGAGGCTCCTCAGCCTGGTGGATGAGGGCCCTGTTTCTCAAAGTCAGGAGCCAGGAATAATGTATGAGGTAATGTTAGGCAGTCAAAACCCCTCCAGTACACCTAATGCCTTTTATAAGTGACCAGAAGGTGTATAAGCAGTAAGGGAGCCGTGCTCGCAGAAGCAGAGGGGGTGAACTCAGCAAACAGGCCTGCCATGTTGGTTTTCCATGTGGCTTCCTAGGCTGTATGGCTGTGTATACTATTAAAGGAGTGTGTAGTAGCCATGATTTCCTCCTTGCTCCTTATTTGATGGTGAGCAGCGCTGGGTTCTGCTGGCTTGCTGGGTGCCGCAGCCTGGCCTTGCTCCTTTTCTGTGTTCAGGGACCATCATGGACCATCTCATTTCCTTCAGCTGCCGCCCCTCTGTTGACCTGTGCAGGTGACGCTGTGTGCTTGACCCTCTCTGTGAACTACAGTTCAGAGCTGCAGGTTTGGTCCAGCCTTTAGGAAATATTTTTGCATTAAAGGGTTTTAAAATCCTAAGCTTGGGTGATGAATGCTGGGTGAGCAGATAGTTGTTTTCTTGTTCAGAAAGGAATGACGTTAGAGGAAGGAATTTTTTTCCCCAAAGTGCAAAAGCATTATACGCCATGTAGCTAAAAAATTATATTGCAGCATCAGAACCTTTGGCAATTACTCTTCATTTATGTAGAAGTTTTTTTCAACTATGCGTTAAAGGTCTAGATTTTTAAACTAATTTAATTTTTTGCATATTCCATATGTTTATAAGATGAATCAGTCTGAGGAATAATTGATTATTAAAATTCAAATTCTCCAGGGTTCTTTTATAAATTTCAAGTTTCTCTACAAGAAATTTAATTTACTTTGCAAAATGAACCTGGATAATAGCATTTAGCTGGGGTGTTTGGCAGTTGAGCAGTGAACTTTGCCAAGTAGATCTTCTTTTTCATTTGGAAGTTGGTCCAGCGAGTTTCCAAGGTTACAACTGGCAGCTGAGTGTCTTATCCCTAAAGACTGATAATGCCATGGAGAATAATGCCAGAGGCATTTCTACAGGGTTTTCATCTTGTTTGTTTCCAAATACTTCATTCTTGTCAGTGGTGTCCACCCACTCTCACCTCTTCTTTTTTTCTTTTTGGTAGAACTATTTGGAAAATATAACAAGCCTTCCAGAAACAATCCCCACAGGCCATTTTCAGAAAAAATGGTTTCCGGTTTATGACTTGAAGCCCTACTGTGTACACCCAGACCAGTCACCCAGCTCTGTCCTCTCATGTGGGTTTGGAGGGCTTGCTTGCCTTCCCATGGACCATCTTCCTCAGGAAGATGCTGTTCTTTAGACCCACTCTTTCCCCGGGGCCTGGAAGTTAGGGGGCCCTGGAACCCCAGAGCTGTGGGGTTGGCTTCTTTTCGGCTGGGAAATGACAATGTATGTGGCATGTAGGTATTTTTGTCTGAGGAAGAAAAGGCCACATGTGTTGTAGAGCTCCCCAAGGAAAATGTCTGGTTCAGTGGGCAACACCCCAAAATTTGTGGTACTAGCCTGTGTTTGTTGAGAAAACATTTAGGAAGCCATTGGTTGCAGGGTGATGGTGATGGTGGAAGGCAACTGGGCTGGACAGTGCCCTCTGCATTCTGGCCTCCCTTTTCAGCCTTGTGTGTGAATGTTGTGGCATCTGTGTATTCTCAAACGCAGGCTGCTCTGCAGGAAGTGGCCTATCACACAGACAACACACACGTCTGCCCCTTCGGCAGCTTCCATGGGCACTAGGAGTCCCCATCAGTCAACTCTCATTTTCAGAGATTAGGGACCTGCGTTAGGTAGCCTGCTGTGCCAGTTAGACAGTGTAGCCTTCCTGTGGGGACAAGACTCAGTTCTTGGTTCATCACATGTATACACACATTCCTTGTTGACATGTTTCTAGACACCTTGATCACTGCTAGTGACACCTTCCTCCCTGTGATCACAGACTGCTGTGTGTCCATCTCCTTTCACTTAGCAGTTGAGTTATGAAGTCCCATTTACCTGTCCCTTGAAATAGTGAGCTCTGACCTGGAGTCACTGTGGCCTCAAACCATCAGCACCCAACAGAAGGCCAAGCTCAGAGTCAGTACTGAATAAATGTTAGTTGTCGGATGAATGGATTGGTAAAAACTGTGAGTGCTGTATCTTGTAATTATATCTCGACAGGATAAACAGGCCACTGGAGACCAATTATAATTCCTCTGGCTTGCAGGGAGGCCATTAGCATCTAGGATGATAACTAATTGTCAGAAGCCTGTTTTTCTCTCAACGCATTCTCACAGTAAGGCTTCCTCATTTTTGTCGTCATCCTGATTTTGAGCTCATTTTTATTTGTGCATTTATTTAAGAAGAATGCTGCGGTGGGCTATAAAGAATAGTTGGTTCCAAGCAACTCTGTGAAGATCGTCATTCCACACAAGTGCTGCCCAGGGCTGCTGGAATGTCATTTCTTGTCACTGTGTGCTGCCTTTTAATGATTCTGGATTTGTCTTCTGTGGTGTGGTAATAAGGTCATGTGGGTGTGGTGGACAGGAGGGGTGGAAGAGAAACAGGGAGCTCTCTAGTTGCCCGTTGCCCTGGATACAGAGGTCTCACATCCTCATTTATTGTGGCTGTCACTGTACACTCAGCTAAACATTGCATCAGAAGCAGGTGTCTTCAGATTTGAAGACACAGGCCTTTTCCTGATTTGTGTTCTGGGCTTGGATTACCCTTCCCTCACCCCAATTAGGTTTCTTTGTGTTTCTTTCTCCCCCTTCCCCCCTTCTCTGTCTGTGTACAAATTCTCAACAGAATGATGGCTATATTACCCACCTGGAATTTACTGTACTCTGGCAGTGCTGTGTCCCTGAGAGACGGA